GCCTTATATTCAATTTTTATTGCACTTCCGGTAACACCAGAAGTGAAGGTCAAGCGGTTTTCTGCCAGGGAATAAGAATTGTTGCCCGAGGCATCATTTACAACCTCGCACAAAAAACGAACATGATACTCTATTTAGTTCTAAAGATACAGCTTAAACTATTTTCACAAATTTGGCCCTGAATTTGCTTATTTGATACCCGATGACGTCAGATTTGTTTTTACATCTTCAGACGAGGGCTCAAGTTCATACCATGTTTTATCATAATCCTGTAAATCGTTTGGAAGAAATTCCATTCGTTTTCCGTTTTTGATTTTGAGGCTTCTGTCTGTATTTTAAATCCACCTAACTTTGACCTTCCGGTTGACCCGGAAGTAAAGGTCAAGCGAGTTCACGTACACGGAAAGAAATCTTTATCAATTAATGGTCTATCTGATTACAAAGTTGGAAAATGATTGATCATTTTGTTTAAGAGTTATACGTGAAAGAAGATCGTCATTTTTTCAACGAAAATCGCTTGTAATTTGACACCTGATGATGTCATCGTGACGTCGGAGAAATACATACATATGCACCACTTGGGATGAAGGTTGATATATGTTGAAAGTTACAAGTTCATACCATAAACCGTTTAGGAGAAAACCCGCGGAGAAGTGCCGTACAGAAAAAAGGAAGAAAGAAAGAAGACTAGAGGTTCGCGTTTGTTGTTACAAACGCAGAGTGGTTGGGTAGAGAACTATTTCATTATTCATTGTCCAGTTAGGACATGAACATGTTTACGTCAGAAAAAAGGATCAAGAACTTTAACATTTCCACTACCAATTATTTTGTACAAAAAGAATGCGTCTTTTAGGGTATGATAAATTTTAGTAAACATTTAGGTACATGTACAAGTTATTTCTGGTTTCATGACGTCATCAGTCAAAAAAGGAAAGGAATACTGATTTAATTCAAGGAGGACACTTGTTTATCATTAAGTAAAAATAACGCGGTAATGTGGAAATTAAGTGTATGTAATAATAACACCCAAATTCCAGTTGATGACGTCAAAGTATTTGGAAGCAAAAGGTCAATATTAAGTGTAACAGATGTCTTTTTTGGGGGGCAAGGAACTACATTGTAAGTCATGAGACAGGGATCATTATGATGGATTTAAATTAAAAATAAAATGATCATTGTTAAATTCTCTGAACAGTCACTTCCTGTTCGATGACGTCATAATTATGAAAACGTGCAAATTCATTTGTGGTTGCTCACAGGATATAAAGGGCCAATTTGTTAAAATTTAATTGAGGTTTTAAAACATTTCAAAAGATCAAATTGTTTTTGATGTGCCGCTAGAGAGCGCCCTTTCATAGGATGACGTCAAAATTATGGGGTTTTTTGCGTTAAGCATCCCTCACTTAACACTTCCAGAATGTATTTGTCTGTAGTAAAATGCTTCAGTTTTCGAGTTAGATTCAATTTCTATTGTACTTTTGGTAATACCGGAAGTGAAGGTTAAGCAGTTTTGCAACCGGAAATAAAAAATTTTGTTCAAGGCACCGTCTACAACTATCAGATATCATAGCTTGAACTATTTTGTCAAATTGTGCCCTTAAATCGCTCGTAATTTGATACCCGATGATACGTCATGATGACGTTACACAAATTTTAACATCTTCGTAATTTTATGATCATCCTGTTAACTGTTCAGAAGAAATTTTGATTTGTTTGTATTTTAGGCTACTGTCTTCATTTTGAGTGCCTATTCTACTGTAGTGTAAACTTATCAAATACAATCGTTACAAAAACCCATTAAATAGCTCATATCTCTAAAAGTAAAGGTCTTACACCATTGGCAATATACAAAATATTGTTCGCCATACCCTTTTTACCCCAATGCACATGTTTTTAGAAAAAGCGCCCAATCTAAAAAAAAGCACCCAATTGGGCGCTATTGCAAGCCCAACTTTTGAGTCTCATATGACGTCATCAAAAGTCACAAATGTGCTTCCGTTAACAAGTTGTCATATAAACGTGTACAAAACACTGGTTAACACTTAAAAACATTGGTCCATCAAACAGCCGTTACATGTGGCTCAATAGTTCACATAAAACAGTCGTAAAAAACAGACATTCAAGAGCTAGAGCTAGAGGCGAGCACACGGGAAAATCCGTTTTGTACGCAATCCCTATTAGCACACGCAATACAATACACGGCATTCAATGCACGTTTTTAGGCGTAGGCGTTGTCAACTTCAAATATGGCAATTAAATCTCTCAGGGTTGATTTTCTAGGAATTTTCAAAGAAAAAGAAGTCTTTTCATTCTGGTCTGATGACGTAATGAATTTTTCTTTCTTTTTTCGCACAGGTCTTGTCTGCATGAAGGTCATCATATACATGTATATTAATTTTGAAGCAATTAACAGAAATTTCGCCACACACATCAAATAAAAATGCCTTTTTGACTTTTTTAAACTGTCGCTAGAGGGCACTCAAACATTTTATGATGTCACTGGTATTTTTTTCCTAAAGTACAATCTACCTAGCGACTAACATCTTTGAAAGCTAGTTCACATCTTTTTCCACCTTCAAATTATAAGGCACTTCCGGTTTCGACCGAGGGGAAGGGTCACGCGATTAGGCGCACACGAGATAAAATGAAGATCCTGGATTATTGTATCAATTCCCATAAAAATCGAGTTCAGGTCTCTCACGGTTAATTTTATATTGATTTTCAAAGATTAAATCTAGAAATCTTTAATCACTTGTAATTTGATACCTGGTTACGTCATGATGAGGTTACAAAATTGATAACATCTTCGTAACACGGTACAAGTTCACGCTAGGTTTTATGATCATCCCGTAAACCGTTTTATGATCATCCCGTAAACCGTTTTATGATCATCCCGTAAAATTGTTTTAATTTCAGGCTAATGTCTTCATTTTGAATTCACCTTACTTTGACCTTCCGGTAGACCCGGAAGTAAAGGTCAAACGACTTCACTTCAAAATCAAAAATGTTTATCAAGGTATGGTCCATCTGATTACAAGGTTGGAACATAATTGATCATTTTGTTCAAGAGTTATAGGTGAAAGAACATTGTCTTTTTTCAACGAAAATCGCTTGTAATTTGACACCCGATGACGTCATAATGACGTCAGAGTAATATGCACCACTAGGGATGAGGGTCAATATATGTTGAAAGTTACAAGTTCATACCATTTTAGGAGAAAACCCGCGGAGAAGTATTGTCCAGGAAAAAAAAAAAAAAATGAATCCGAACAATAAGGCCAACAAAAAAACATCTCTGGTTTCTGGTATGCGCACGCGTCATCGTAGCCATGCACGTTGGCAAAGTGAAAACGTTTTTTTTTTCAATGAAAGATGATGTCTCAAAACCGCCAAACTCACTGGTTTGACTGGAATCCTGCTGCTTCACAATTTTAACATGTTTTTAGATGGGGTGACGATCGAGTATAAGCTTTATGTGGCCTCTCTTGACTCCCATATATTTGCACTAAGTTTAGTCGGGCACCATTTGCAGTCATCAGCCGACATTTGAAGAAAAAATGGTAAAAAAAAAAAAAGCAGCAACGGCTGCACCACTTTTTGGGCAAGCTCCATACCAGAAACCGGAGACTTTTTGACCTAATAGAGAGTGGTCGGGTTGTGCCCAACCTCTCAATCAATCGCAACAACTCTAAAGGAAAAAAAAAAATTAAACAAGTCAGGTGTGTTTACAAACACAAATGCCCCGCAACGGTGACAGTTCCCATGACATAACACCACTCTTTTAACATCAACTTACATGTACCTTGGTCACATGGAACATTCATTGACAGCATTAGTGTCTTCTGTAGGTTTTATATGAATTAATCCCTAATCCCTATAATCTCAGAATAAATACATGATTTCTATTGTTTTAGCCACTGTGAACTTGACCCTTGACCTTTTGGCCCCAAATGCAATAGGCTTTTTAGGATTGCCAAGAACAATCCACAAACCAAATTTGAAGTTCACATGTAAAGTATTTCTCAAGTTATCGCGCTGACAAGATTTCTATTGTTTTAGCCACTGTGAACTTGACCTTAGGCCTTTTGGCCCCAAATGCGAAAGGCTTCTTAGGATTGCCAAAAACAATCCACAAACCAAATTTGAAGTTCACATGTAAAGTATTTCTCAAGTTATCGCGCTGACAAGATTTCTATTGTTTTAGCGACTGTGAACTTGACCTTTGGCCTTTTGGCCCCAAATGCAAAAGGCTTCTTAGGATTACCAAGAACAATCCACAAACCAAATTTGAAGTTCATATGTTAAGTATTTCTCAAGTTATCGCGCTGACAAGATTTGTCCGGACACACACACACACCCACCCACCCACACACCCACCCACACACCCACCCACGGAAGGACAAGGCGGAAACAGTATGCCCCTTCGGCTTCGCCGCGGGGCATAAAAAATTGAAAAAAAAACAAAGGCTCTTTTGGCTGGTCAATTAGATCGTTTAAATCCAACAATTTCTCGTAGCACAGAAAAAGTGTTTTGGACGTTACACAATTGTATGGTTAACACAAAATTGTCATTTTGCATGCATTTTTTTTATTACATCAATATTTTATGATTCTTCCATTTTTTAAAATCATGTCAAGAAAAAAATATTTTTATTATTCTATTCAGTTTTAGAAGTAAATATAACATGCATTTGTTGATTGCTGTGATTTGGGCTATGCCATTTTTTTTATCCCCTCGGGGACCAAAGCACCCCCTAGCTTCACCTCATGTGTCATGCAATGCAACCCTCAAGTGTGAAAAGCATCATATCCCAAATCACATCAGTCAACAATTGTTAATTATACTTCCGTTTTGAAAAATTAATTATTTAAAAATTTCAATATGAATATTGACTTAAAAGAAAAAACAATGTGGAAGTCAAGCACCCACCTGGTAATGGGGTTGATGTAACACCCACTTGTTTCATTTTTTCATATTCATATACACAAATGTTTAAAATGAGTTTATTTTGTGATTACATTTGATGAAATTGACTTACTTTATCTTTCTGTTCTCGCATCATATCCACAGCTTGTTCCTTGAACTGTGTATCTCTACCTGTGTTGTCAATTGACATCTTGCCTCCAACACTCTGGAAAAAAATTATGATTATCAATGTTTAACCATTCATAATGTTTACAACTGAGTGAGTCAGTGACATTTCACTGCTTGAGAATAGCTCTCGACATGTTTCAAATGTTTGATGACCTTATGGCATCTGTGGAGTACCTTTCAACCTTTCACCTTATGCACCCCTGGTACATCTGTCTGTTTGTTTGCAAAGACTGAATTTTTCCCCTTCTGCTATGTCCACAACAGGAGCTTCTATGTGTCACTTGGTGGTTTGTCTGTCACTCCCTGGAAAATTGAGCGCATTGATGCCATCGAGTGGGTTCCACCTATCATAGTTTCTTACAAGAAATCTAGTGACATTCGCCTTTGTGTCAATCTGCGCCATGTCAATTGCACAGTAATCATCGACAGTTTTCCTATCCCTGACCTACAGGAACTGTTCACAGAACTCCGACACACCATAGTTTTCAGTACACTGGACCTCAAATCTGCTTTTCATCAGCTAGTGTTGGCAGAACAGCCATGTGACTACACTGCATTCATAACTCACGAAGGACTGTTTCGCTTTAAACGTGTTTGTTTTGGTCTCGTTTCAGCACCTGCAGCTTTCCAGAATTGATGCGTCAGTACTGAGTGTGCTGCCAAGTGTACCGGCCTACTTGGACGATGTTGTTGTGTGTATGGTCAGAATCAGGCTGAACATGACAAGCATCTTGCAGTAGTCCTGAAACGTAAACAGGATGTAGGACAGACTCTCAATCCAGCCAAGTGTCAGTTCAATCTATCCTCACTACACTTCCTGGGATATAGCATAGGCCTTGCAAGTTACTATGCGTACAGTCGTCAACATGTTAACTTCGATCTTCGCTCGTGAAGGTTTACCTCTGGAACTCATCTCAGATAACGGGACTCAGTTTGACTCTGCTAAAGTTTGAAACCTGCCTCGGAAACCTGGGCATCAAGCACAAATCATTGCTCTTTTACCCCAAAGCAAATGGTGAGGTCGAACAATGGAACACACTTCATGGAAAACCGCTATCATCGATTTACTGACCGCATACCATGCTACACCTCACCAGACCACAAGAAAATCCCAGTCAGAACTGCTACATAATCGCAAAATGGTGACACGGATGAACATTCGCAATGACGCCCTAAACACGCCGCCAATTCTTCCGTCCGTGATCAATTTGCAGGCAAACAAGAACTGTCACGCAATACAACATAGTAAACGTGGTGCAAAGTTGCCTAAATTTTGCATGGGTGACTACGTTGGTGTAAGAATACCAACTCTGAAGTCAAAGACTTCATGGAAATTCTCAGCTCCTAAGCTTATTGTGAAATCCAAGGGACCGTTCACATACATGCTCCAAGATGGATGAGTTTAGAACGCCTCCAAGTTGAGCGCATGTCCAGCCACTCATGACTCTCACTCAATTGCCAAATCAACCCAGTCCTGAAGTTTTGAACCAACCTGCAACCGCACGACATTCTACCAGGTCTCACACGCCACCAGTCTGGGCCAAGGACAATCACAAGTAAAGACACTTTTTGTAATCATTTCAGTGGGACACACACATGTTCTTCAATTGAACTCTTTGACATAAAATGTCCTGGACTCAATTTGGAATTACGTATCATTTATTTTCACACATTTTTTTGCTTAAAATTGTATAATTTCACACTCCTCTCCTTCAAGTTAATTGATCATATTGCAATTTGAAAAACAGAAAGAAAGACATTTTCTTTGTGACATAACAAGTTATGAGGATCACATAAATCCCCCCCCCCCCCCACAGTAGTGTGGTTGGGGTCTACGAGCGAATACTTACCTGTAGAGCGAATACTACCTATGCATTGTTCCCTATGCCGGCAGGCAATTTGCTAAGAGTTTAACACACAATAGCGCCCTCACGTGTCCTACCCACGACGCCCTGTGACATGCGCACTACGTTAGCATCCTCTTTTTCTCAAGCGTCACCTGCGTAAGCACTCAAGGAATCGAGTATAGTGGGGAAGGAGGGAGGGGTGCTCTACGTGTAAGTATTTGCTCGCAGACCCCAACCACACTACTGTGGGGGGGGGGGGGGGAGTCTACATCACTCTACTTACCTGTAAAGCGAATACTACCTATGCATAGACTCGCACCGAGTAAGGCGGTGGGTATACGCGAATTACCGTATGTCTACAGGGGGGTAGGACATAAGGCGTGTCTGAAGGCAAACAAAACAAAACAAAAACCAAAAAAACCCAGACGCTCTAGCTCGTGCGCAAAAAGGTCGGGGGGGGGGGTGTCACCATTATGGGGATAAACACATGATAGGTACACCTCATTGGACTTAATGTATATATGTATATGCTCACCCGTTAGTGCTTCTGTGAGGCTCGACTACCCGCCTTCAGCACTTCTCTTCCAGCCTTGCCATCTGCCTGGAGGACATCCTTCAGGTAGCATTCGAAGAACGTGTTAGGGTTCTTCCAGCAGGCTGCCTTGACGATGTCACCTAGGGGGACACCCTTAAAACACGCCCACGAGGTGGACACTCCCCTGACCTCATGCGCTCGAATGGGTCCCTCGTTCGCTGGCCAGCTGCCCGGCACGGAATGAATGGCCGTCACGATCCAGCGGGTGATTGTATCGCGGGACGCCGGCCCATACGAAGTGACTTCGTTCGGTTGACATACCACTTAAGTGCTCGAACTGGGCACCAAAGTTTGTCGTTTGTCTCGGTCGAAAAAGACTTGATCTCCGGGACAAAGATGTCTGGGGGCGTAAAAGCTTCCAACTGGTTCTTCGCAAGAAAACCGGCCGTAGGGATCAGGCGGACACCCCCCGGTTCCCACCGGATGTGTCTTGTCTGCACCGACAATGAGTGTAGTTTGCTACGTCGTCGGGACATAGCGACAGCCAACAGAAAAACTACTTTGATGGAGAGTTGTAACAAAGTTGAGCAATTGCCATTAGTTCAAAAGGGGCCTTCGCCAGTGTGGATAGTACACTGAAGAGGTCCCAAGATGGGATTAATGTGCGTACTGGGGGACGAGTATTAAACATCCCCTTGATCAGTTGGCTGATTGCAGGGTTGCCGGAAACGGAAGAACCGTCCGGAAACCCTTGATGAATTGCGGCAACGGCCGATCGATAATTTTTGACCGTGGCCGTCGTGAGCCCACTGTTCAAAAGGTCTAGGAGGAAATCCCCCACTTCCCTTACTGAAGTATTGGGGGAATGAATGGATTGCCGTCTACACCATTTAAAGAAAAGGCGTAGTCGGCTATCGTACACCTTTCTGGTTGAGGCTCTGCAGGACTGGGCTGCAATTGTTGCAGCTCGTCGCGAAAGGCCTGCTGAGCAGAGGGATCGCGTGACAATACCCAGCACGTCAGGTGAAGATCCCCCGGAGCCTGGTGACTGATTCCCGAGCTGGGCTGATAAAGGAGATCGGCCCTCCTCGGTAGAATTACCGGGCGGTGAACCAAGAGCCGGACGAGCCAGGGGAACCACGGCTGGCGGGGCCAGAACAGGGCTATGAGGAGGATTCCGCAATCCTCCTGCTCGATCTTGGTCAGCACTCGAGAAACGAGGGAGATGGGTGGGAAGGCGTAGGCCAGTAGGCCGTCCCACCGCACCGACAGCGCATCGGTCTGCCACGCGTTGGGGTCTGGGCCCCTCGTGCAGTAGATCGGTAGCTGATTGTTCATTCGCGATGCGAATAGGTCCACATGAGGCCGGTCGATTAATCGGAAGATCGACTGAGCCACCTGTGGGAGCAGTGACCACTCTGTCGTGGCGATCCAGCCTCTGGAGAGAGCGTCGGCTGTGACGTTCTCTTCGCCCAGGATGTGGACTGCCGACAGTGCTATCCCGTGATGTATGCACCAGAGGGTGAGATCCCACGTTAGTGCACACAGACGGCCTGACCGAGTGCCCCCCTGGTGATTGATGTATGCCAACACTGTGGCGTTGTCGCATCGTACCAGGACTGCTTGCCCTCTGACGTCCGACTGGAAATGTTTTAGTGCATTGGCAACTGCCAGCATTTCCAGGACGTTGATGTGGGATGATTGGTGTTCGGGGCCCCACACGCCCGCCACCTGTTGCGGATGGAGGGTAGCCCCCCAGCCGTACCCTGACGCGTTGGTCGTGATAAGTACCGACGGGCGGGGTGGGCGGAAAATGCAGCCCTGCGTTATGTGGGCCTCGACTAGCCACCAACGAAGGTGGGGGACTAGCCAAGACGAAGTGGGCACCGGATGGTCGATCGGGTGCCAACGGGGTTTGTAGAAAGAAAGCAGGTGAAGTTGAATTGGCCTCATCCTCAACCTGCAAAAATCCACTAAGTCCACCAAACTGGCCATAAGGCCCAACAGCCTGAGCCAGGCTTGGGCCGAGCCACTACCGTCGGGAGGAAGAGGGACAAGCACTGCCGAAGGTTCAGCAGGCGGTCCTCCGATGGGCGGGCCAGTCCCCTGCGAAGATCGAGGGATGCACCTAGAAAGGTGGGAACCTGCAAGGGGACTGGATGGGATTTCTTGGTGTTGATGAGAAATCCGAGGTCGGAAGCAAGGTGCCACGTTAGTCGGAGCGCCACTTCCGTCTTCCCCCGAGAACGACCCAATACTAGCTCATCGTCGAGGTACATGAATATCATGATCCCTCGTCGCCGCAGTGCCACCTGGATCGTGAAGACGATCCGGGTGAACACCGGGGAATGACAAAAGAGGGTTGCTTCTTTGTCTTATCCGTGGTTTTTGGCTCGGCCGGTTTCTTGAGATTTATTTTCTCAGTGGCCTTGAGGCGCTTTGCTTCGGTCTCCATGGACTCCTGGAACTTACCAGAAAATAAGTCCGGGCCTGAGAGCGGAAGGTCGTCGAGACGCTTACGTGCTCCAGGTGAAGGAAGGAAAAGCGCATCTAGCACATTGGCGCGGTGTGACGATGTTGCCAAGGTCGACACTCTAGCGAACTGGTCGAGAGTGGAGCATAGGCCGTGATCGAGGCAATGGAGAGCTGCCACCATCATGTCGGCTGGTATCACCGAGTCTTCTTCATACCCCAAGGCCATGTACTCGGACAGGAGAAGAAAAGACGTCGCACGCATACCCATAGGTGCCGACGAGTCCATTCTAAGGGTGACATCCTCTAGCTTTCCACGGGTCTTGTCCGTAAAGGGAACCTTGGAGGAAGCCGTCCCTCGGTCAGCGGCAAGTTTGTCGATGGCCAAGTCCGGCAGGACTGGAGTTGAAAAATATTTCTCAAAATCCCCTGGGGGAAAATGATAATAAGAGTCTACGCGCTTAGCGTAGGCACTCCATGTCTTTGCGTGCATTATCCCGTCTATGTGGTCAACCACACACGGTCCAGCGGCATTGTGGGAAAAGCCCGGACCGGTTCTGCCGTCAGTCCCGATCTCTTCTTGAACGACCGACGCTCAGGAGGAGGAGGTTCGGTACCAGCAGGGAGATTCAGGTCCCTGATAATATCCCGTTGAACCAAGCGGAGTTCGGTCTCAGCCACCGATAGGCGTTGCATGGTGCGGGTCAGTTCGCTCTCGTCCGCCGAGTTGTCAGAGTACGGGGGGGGGGGTTGTCACCGGGGAATGGGAACCAGGCCTTGGGGGCGAAGCAGCGCCGTCACGGTGTCCCGGTATCGAGCCCCGCTTGGACTTTAGTGACACCGATGGGTGTAAACTAATACCGGGCGGGGACGCCGGTGCACTGCTCTCCGTGCGCGGCATTGTCCGCTGGCCTGTAGTCACCCCACTCCGGCACACGGCTAACCGTGTGTGGTATGTCCCTTTGGCCTGGAGTCATACAGCTGTGACTGTAGTCTCCCTGTCAGCCCGACAATGAGGCCGCGAGGGAGTTTCTGAAAAGCCTCCAAAAAATCATTGCGCGAAATTGGGTCGCCACCCTTGTGGCGTTTCCCACGGTGTAATCGACCGGATGACCCGCTAGAACTTGTTGAAGAACGGCGGGGACGGCGGTTCTTTTTTCGCTTTTTTCTTTTTTAGAAGATCGGCTCTGAGTACTTTCCGAGGATTGCGGGGACACGGGAATGCCAAAACAACAGATAAAATCTGATGTAGAGGCATGGCCCTCTGAGCGTAGCGTTAACGCTCCGGGCGTTAACGCTCCGGGGGAATCCCAGGAAGTCTGCTCTATGCGATCAATAGCCCGGGCGGCCGACAGCGCCCCCGCCCCGGTAACTTAGGCGGGTGCTGCAAGGTCGAGCCGGCCGTATAAAAGCCCATCCCCAGGCATCGTGGTAATCACGGGGCTGGGTGGGCCTGGGTGCACTGAGCCATGGAGGAGTACTTCCTCCGGCTGTGAGTGACCCGTAGACGGGCTAGGGATGGGCACGGTACGCCCCGTAGTGGAGCCACCTTTTGCCGCACGTCCCTTTTTGGGTACTGCCCCGGCTTCAGACAATTTCCTTGTCTTGCCAGTGCGTTTCCCCTTCAGCTGGGTGGACCCGTGAATATTGACCGAAGACGGTGGGGTTGTACGGCCCCTCGCTTGGTCAACGGGTCCGTCAGCTCCGACAGCCGGTAGTGGCTGAAGGGGCCGACTAGGGGACTGCTGCCACATTGACGTACCATCACCGGTGCAGTCCCCCGAGAACTTGGGCTTGTCTGGTGGGATGTACGTCCCTCCATTATCGACACACCCAGTCCTCCCCAACTTCCTAGATTTACTCATTTCTTACTTCACTTCACTTAGAATAACTCACTATAATAACTCTACAATAAACACTTTCTCTTTATTTCTTATAAATAGCTTTCTCACAGCAAAAAGGCATAAATAAAACAGTGAAATTCAGGTCGATATACCTCGCCTGCGGCTAAGAGAAAAAGAGGACGCTAACATAGTGCGCATGTCACAGGGCGTAGTGGGTAGGACACGTGAGGGCACTATTGTGTGTAAAACTCTTAGCAAATTGCCTGCCGGCATAGGGAACAATGCATAGGTAGTATTCGCTCTACAGGTAAGTAGAGTGATGTAGACACTTAAGTTTCAGAAATGTGAATCCAGACAGGGGAGATGTTGTGTTTATATAGTGCCCTCTAGCAGGCGTTGGCGGGAAGTGTGCCATGTTGGATAAGAAGTGATAAAAGTGTTGTATCGTTAACATTCTCCGCGTCCTTGTACACTTCCAAATAATAATCATATTCTCGTTTGGTGGAAAATAGTTGTCATTTGTTAGTAGCATTGTCTTGTAAATTCAACCATACATGCCTGATCTAAAGGAGGCATCAGGAAAATCTTGTCGTCGCTCATTGTAGAACTTGTCCAGCGCTTGAAGATTTATATTCAGGCTGGGGTCCATCATTAATTAGTGGAGGGTACCCGACCATGGCTGTGGATGCCGGACAGGAGACTGCTGACACATTAACAGCTCAGCGCTACCGGCAACGACTCCCAAGAACTCGATGTGTCCCGGGGGGGGGGGGGGGGGTGGTTCATTCCCCAAATGTGGCAAGGCCAGTCCTCTCCAGATGACTCATTTTTAAGAAATTATCTCACAAGACCAAAACCATAACTCTACTGATAACTCTTTTAATCAAATCTTCTCTTAAGCAATATAGGGTAGCAGAAAAACGACAAACAATACTTGTAAGCGTATTTTAAGCATGTCCAACCCAACCTGCCGCTAAGAGAAAAAAGGAAAAAGAAGGCACTATTTTGCAAACTCTGCTGCTCTACAGAAAAGTTGAGTGAAGTAGACTAGTCGTGTATTACATCACACTATCATTGCTAACTCTAGCCCTATCTAGACCTAAAAATAAAAGCAAGCTATATTTGTGCACAAGTTTAAAAACAATTTACTGCCCATTTCCTATTCAAACATATTTGTGTTTAAACTGCAATTTACATAAATATAACACTCGTGTGTCTAATAACTTACATTTCCAATTATCGCAACATAGAACTTCTGCCTTTCAATACATTGAATACTCCGGACCTAAAATATGGAGTAATGTTCCATTCTCTCTTAGATGTTCAAGGTCATATTTATGATTTTTTTAAACGCAAACTTAAATTGTTATCTTATCTCGTTCAATACTTATATTATTTTTCATTTCAGTCATGAAGAGGAAAGAAATGTGTTTGATAAAAATTTAAAAATAATTTTTGTGTGTGTTATTTTGGTGTTATCTTCTTTTTTATTTCCATTTCAACATTCCCTGTTTTTTTTTTTTAATTTTCTTCTAACCATTTGTTATTCAAGTTTTTAATTGTACTTGATTCTATGTCATTACTTCATTAAACTGTTACATCCTTATTCTTTCAAAGCACACACATTACAAATTGACAGTGATAGTCATACCTGCTGTGGAAAGAAAGATGTGTATGCTAGCTTCCAAAGGTCCATTGGTGTCGCTGCATCAAGATTACCAACATCGCCTTCAGACACAGGAGGTAAACCTGTTCACAATAAGAGTGTAATTGAATGTTGTTTACAATTTCAGCAAGAGACTCTTGTGATGTGAAAGAGTGACAAATACTGTATACCATTAGAAAGTAAAAAAAGAACAAGAAAACAAATGCATACGTGGACAAACAAGTGGCTGTTTCGGCAATTTATCGTTGTATTTTTATGTCATCTTATAGACTGATAGGACATAGATGTGCAGTAGAAAGTCGCAAAGTTATAAAAATATGCATTTAAAATGAAGTCACATTTCATGTGATGTCGTCATTGTGACGTCACTTCATTGTTCATCTATAACACATCCCAGTCTAGGTACACACCAACTTTCAACCCTATCAGACCTGTCATTCTGTAGATGCAAGCCTTCAAAATATGCACTTTTAATATGAAGTCCCGTCATGTAATGACGTCACCTCAATTTTCATCTGTAACACATCCCGGTCTGGATACATACCAACTTTCAACCCAATCGGAGCTGTCATTCTGTAGGCTGTCCATGATTTGACCTTGGTGATATGTATGTGGCCTATTTTCGAGTAGTATAATAGGGGCGCAAGTGGTGCCACCACCATCAAAATAGTGCCCCCCCCCAAAAAAGAAAACCACCCCAAAACAAACAAACAAACAAACAAACAAACAAACTTCTAAAAAATTTGAAAAAAAACCTGGGTGCGCCACTGAGGCTGTGGTTCTGTAGATATAAGCCTTCATAATATGCACTTTAAATATGATGTCACATGCCATGTGATGACGTCATCTTGATGTTGCCAAAACTGTTCCAGCAAAGTACTGAACAACCAATTAAACATGCACGTATAGTGTAACGGTATGAAAATCCAATTAGACACCATTCGAGTACCGCATGGGAACGGCCTGATCAGTAAGTCCCCTATCGGTAGAAACACTACAGCGGCTTGGTCACCCAAGCATGACATCTGGTTGATTGCTAGGCTGGCGCTCTGGGCTACAACAATAAGACATTTTATCATTTGAATAAATGATCAAATGCTTTATTATCAGAATTTCTCAGTTGGTGTTTTTTACTTAGGCATGTGTGACAAAATGCTTAGGAAATTGCCACAGAAGCACACTTGTATATCACACATCAAATTAATTAACTGCTGTGTACATGCCATTCACAATAAGAAATCAGCTGTGTTACATACATGTACGATTTACTAATTATCTTTGCTATCGAAGTCCCACAGTAGAATTCCACTATTTGGAAACACACTGTGCAGGCATGCATGCATGCATGCATACATACATGTACCTGTGTAAAGAATTACTGCACAAAATGCCATTGCAAACCTTGTGGCAACACAGGATAGTTGAGCTATCTTGAGCAGCCAATCAGCTGCTGAGTTGGCAAACTTTTTCATGAATATGCATTTCTACTTGTAGGCTATGTGTTTGTGTTAAGCTTTGAGTGAAGTTCCACTTATAAAAGGACACTGCACTTTGTGACACAGAAAACCATTGTATCTTTAGCTGTGTGTTTTTGCCTCACTGAAAGATCAATAAATTTGTAGCAATTCTGTAAAGGACAGAGTGTGAGGATGGGTAAATATGTTGACTTACACAAATGACATTACAAATGGGATGGAAAATAAAAGATTCTGCACAGTATCAGCTTCTCAAGTGGAAAACTTTTCTCATGTATGTAAAGTACTTTTTAACAGCTTTCTTTCCATGCATGTATGTTCAGATTTGGTTTAGGATTTCTTACTTAAAATGCCATTTTACTTTTTGTGAAAAACACAGGATTGTAAACAGGATCCTGTGTTAATTTATGCATACTGTGTCAGCCAATCAAAACAGAAGGATTAGACCAATGAGAACTCATGTTACATCAAACTTTCAGCCAATGGGGCAGCTTCTTATATTACTGGTTGACTTTGGTGGGAAAAGAAAGTGCAACTTTAGGCTCACTTTGTCACAGCCCATTGTGTGATGCACAATGAGTATAATTAGGTGTTGGGCCTCAGCCCTATTGTTATTGTATGAATTTACTATTGTTATTATTAATGTTCTCCTCAGCATATTCTTCTCCAGAACTGTCTGTCAAAATGAAAACATATATGAACTTCAATTGTCAATACATGCATGCACAACCCACTGAACATGTGCTTTTTTGCAATTACGTCATCATGACGTCATCATGGATCACGTGACGTCACTTCAAAAAATAATAAATTTAATCTTTGAAATTCAATATAAAATCAACCATGAGAGACCGGAACTTGAATTTTGCGGGAATCGACATGAAAATGTATGATCTTCATTTTATCTTGTGTGCGTCAAATCACGTGACCCTTCTTTCCGGTCGAAACCGGAAGTGCCTAATAATTTGAAAGTGGAAAAAGATATGAACTTGCTTTCAACGATGTGAGCCTGTGGGTGGGTTGATCTTTCCAAAAATACGATCAGTGACGTCATCAAGTGTTCGAGCGCCCTCTAGCGGCAGGTTAAAAAATGTCCAAAACGCATTTTCAGTTGATGTCTGTGGCAAAATTTGCGGTAATCGCTTCTAAATTAATATACATGATTACCTTAATGCAGACAAGACCTGTGAGCGAAAAAAAATTGATTACGTAATCAGACCGGAAGTTACAAAGAAAAGACCTTTTTTCCTTTGAAAACTGCTAAAAAAATCAACCGTTAAGAGTTATAATCAAGTTTTGTGCTTTAAATGGCACTTTAATAATAGGTTTAAAACTTCCCAAAGTTTGGGCGCTTTTTTCTAAAAACATGCGCATTAGGGTAAAAAGGATATGGCGAGCAATATTTTGTATTGCGTCAATGGTGTGCGACCTTTACTTTTAGCTATTAAGGGTTTCTGTATACTTGATCAGTGTACAGTACACTATACGCGCGTGCAGATCCTCACCTGACTCTTTTTAACTATCCTCTGTATAATTACTACATGCGCTATTTTTCAACCCTCAACATCAACATCAACAATCAACAATAACATTAACATCAAAAATCAACACCGTGTGGTTGTTCCTACAACCTCTAGTTTTCTTTCAAATTGCCCACCTCCACCCCATCGCCTCCATTTGTAGGGTACTCGTGTGGGACAAAATGTTTTTTAGCTTTTCTGCTGTTGCAGTAGGAATAAACGTCTTATGCCTTACTGAATTCAATTCGTTTCTTGGATGTGTACCAAGAGGTGATTATTCCTCCCGTTGGTTCAGTCGGGGGAAGATTTTCTGGCGGGAAGTAGACAGACACAGGTTAAACATTTTCATTGCCCTATCATAACGGCCAATAACTTTATTACATTCAGTATTAATTGCCCTACCATACAATGTAAATATACTATGACAGTTTACATTTGTTGTGACAGGCACTGTAATGGCTCCCTGGAGGTTCACTAGGGGCCATTCCTCCCGTAGCTCCTTGCGTTAAGCGGGGGAACATCCTGTGCCTGAATTGTTTATTAATAGTTCAATTTTGGTATTTGTATTCAAGATTTTCTTCCATTATGTAACTAGGTCTGGTGTGCCCTCTTTATTAGGGTCTGGTGTGACTTATATATGGTGAGCCTGGTGTGCCCTATTCATGGCTGGGTCTGGTGCCCTATGTACCAGGGTCTGGTTTAATTTCCCGAATTTCAGGATATTGTGTGACCTAGGTATGGTGTGACCTATATATGATAGGCCTGGTGTGCCATAATTTCAGGATATTGTGTGACCTATATTTGGTGGGCCTGGTGTGCCCTTTTCATGGCTGGGTCTGGTCAACCCAGGGGATCTGGTGTATCCCACTATATTGTATTTCTTTGCCAGTTTGTCCGTGGTATCTGGCAATGTTGTGTTGAATAAATAGCTGTGGCAAATTACATACAAACAAAAATGATTGTGTGTTGTGTGTTTTATATCAGTCTGAGAATAACTCCTATTAGTGGTTTAGTGGCTAATGCTTGAGAAAAACGAACCTCAACCTGCGATCTTAAAATGCTAAGATTGTTTCGAAAGTCCTGATATTGTTCATTGCTGAATTTTATTTTGGTTTGAATGTTCAAAAAGAAAAACAACTCTCTCACACACAAAAAGAATTTGGAATTGAGCATCTTTTTCTTGTTAGGTATGCAGATAAGATGAAAACAGTGAAAACAATGAAAAATCAAATAATGGCATCATCAAGACATCATTTCAATTTTTGCCATAACACATACCTATGTATTTAACTTTAAATTAAACATTAAATTATACACCTTTCAAATGACGTTATTCAACAGTATCAAAATGCGTTGGATTATTGATGCAATAAATTTCCCGTTGGTGCTTTTACTTTGCGTTAAGCATTTGCTGTACAATGGAATGAAATTTGGCAGCAAATTGTGTTTGTGAGTGAGAATAAAACATCGCAAAATGCTAGGCGGTGACGTTTTGTGATTTACGTTTGCTGTATTTTGTGGTCTCCAGTGTAATGCAAGAAGCTGCCCTTTTGGGGGCTCTAACAAACCCTTATTTCATTGATAATACCAGAAATATCTTAGTATTTTAATTTAGTTTGCTGTTGTTGAGAATAAGTTAATTGAAATGATACAAAGCCACTGATTATGGTATTTTTGTATTTGTCTTTTAAATCTCGGTGCTTAAAGTGACTTTCTTTCCTACAACTCTGTGACTAGAAAGTGCACTGTATTAATGCAAGTTAAGGGTCGGAGGGTCACCTAAGGCCGACACCACCCGTTGTGTTTGGGGTTCATGACTTAATATTTCAAAGAATCGTTTTTGTCCTCCATACATTATCAAAGTTACAGGGACCGCCAAAATTAATAACAGGTGCGAGGCTGACTTGATATCCATTTGTTTTTGGTTATAATTTTTTTCTTTGATTTTGATCCACTAGCCAAATGCTCATCAATACAGCAGCGGGGCTATTCAAACTATTCCTTAAGTAGCCTGGCTAGCTCGTCAAAAATTATTAGGCTATGGCAAAAGATGAAAGGACAGGAAGAAATAAATCATTAAATTCAGAG